TTTAGTAGAGACAGGGTTTCACCATGTCAGTCAGGCTGGTCTCAAACTCCTGGCCTCAAACGATCCACACCCCTTGGCCTCCCAAAGTGCTGGGATTACAGGCATGAGCCACCACACCCATCCCTACATAATTTTTGTTTCCAAACATATATATTTGGTTGTCAGCAGCAGTGAGAAACTCACTGACACCAGATTTGGCCAAAGGCACCAGAGATAACACATGTATGACATATTCTAAAGCCTTAGAATTTTGTATGAATGGTGGGCAGGGAGTCCCTCTACTGTGTGCAAACATGGGTCGGTGCCACAATTCTGTCACTTGCGAGTATGGTAGTGCAGTAGCCTCGAGCCAGACTGCCTGGATTCAAATCCCAGAGCTGGTCAAGTCACTTGACCTCAATCTTCTGTAGTTTCTTTTTTAAAAATGGGGATAGTGGTGTCATAGCTCTTTTAGAATTTGCCTAGCAGGTTTTCTGGGTTTTGCCATAACACCCCCTTAAAAAATAAATAAAACAAAAATGGGGATAGTAGTAATACGTACTTCATAGGATTATTGAGGGTATTAAATGAGTTAGCCTACATAAAGTATTTAGAATAATGCACAGCATGTAGTAAGCACTGTTTATGTGTTTGCTATTACTACCATTGTTACTTTTGCAATGAGGGGATTGAAGCAAGAAGAGCTTCTATGGTGCAATGGGGAAAAGAGCATATCCTACCCTGTGTGTTCCTCTAATATCTTGGAAACAAAAGCCATCCACAAAAAAACACAAGGTCAGGAATTTGAAGGGGTTATTTGGGCCCTTAGAGTGTGGGCTATCGAGTAGGCAGTCAGAATGGGATACAATTCTTCAGTGGGAAGAATTGGATATTTCCTTTTTGGAGCAGAGCAGTACCATATGGGGGAGCAGTGACAGAGGGGTTAATCTAGGGTCAGGGGATTTCCTAAGCAGTTAATAATGCATTTCTCTTAGGAACTAACCTGTCAGGTACTGAGAGGCTTTGAAGATAGCTCTTCAGGTTGGGGACATGCCTTTGTTAAGGGGCAAGACCGCTGCCAGGAGTTGGTTCACATTCTCAGAGGTAGGATTGACCACATAAAAAAATGCTTTCAAATCTTTGTTCTAAATTTTCTTTGGCCCTCCCTAGGTTTGGGGAAAGTCTCAGCCTCAGTAACCATCCCAGACACAGTCCAGAGGATATGAGCAGGCGGAGTGGGTCATACGGAAAACAGGTGCGTGGTGGGGAGGCAAATTTGAGGAGCCATTAGTATTAAAATGGGAAACTCAAGAGATACAAAAATTCTAAACAAAGCTTTATCAAATCAAATCCAATAATGTATTAAAAGGATAATGTATCATAACAAAATGGAATGGAATTTATTCCAGGAATGCAGGATTGGCTTGACATTAAAAAATCAATCATGCTTATGGGCGGGTGTTGAACAATGAGAACACGTGGACACAGGGAGGGGAGCATCACAGACTGGGGTCTGTTGGGAGGGGGACTAGGGGAGGGGCGGTAGGGGGTGGGGAGGTTAGGGAGGGATAACATGGGAAGAAGTGCCAGATATAGGTAACGGGGTGATGGAGGCAACAAACCACCTTGCCATGTATGTACCTATGCAACAATCCTGCATGATCTGCATACGTACCACAGAACCTAAAGTACAATTAAAAAAAAATCAATCATGTAATTCAATATATTAACAAACCAAAAAAGAAAACCCATGTGATTATTGCAATAAATGCAGAAATGGCATTTGACAACATCTGACATCTATTCCTGATTTTAAAAAACAAACACCTCTTGGCAAACTAGAAATGGAAAGGAACTTCTTCAATCTGATATAGGGCATCTGCAAAATAACCCACAGCTAACATTATATTTAGTGGTAAAAACTGAGTGCTTTCCCCCCAAGATCAGAAACAAAACAGAGATGTCCACTCTCACCATTTCTATTCATCATTATACTGAAGGTCCTAGGCAGTGCAGTCAAGCAAGAAAAAGAAGCAAAAGGCATCCAAATTGGAAAGGAAGAAGTTAAACTGCATTTACAGACAATGTGATCAGCTATGTAGAAAATCCGACTGTGTCCACCAAAAATAAAACCCTACTAGAAGTAATAAGTGAGTTTAGCAAGTTGCAGGTTATAAGATCAATATACAATAATTAGTTGTATATCTGCATACTAACAATGAACAGTTGGATACAGAAAATTTTAAAATACCATTTATAATAACGTCTAAAAATGTGACTTAGGAATAAATCTGACAAAAGATGTGGAAGACCTGTACACTTATGTTGCTGAGAGAAAGAGGAGTAAAATTAATGAAAAACATTCGTGCATTGGAAAACTTAGTATTGTTATAATGTCAGTTCTCCCCAAATTGATCTATAGTTTAAATGTAATTGCTATTAAAATCTCAGCAGTCTTTTTGAAGAAATTGATAAACTGATCCTAAAATTCATATAGAAAGGCACTACAGAGCCTGGTATGCTGTGTAAAGACCCTGGGTAGGGTCCAGCCTTCCCACAGGATTAGGATTATCAGTGGAGCCCATATAGAGAGGAGAAACAGTAGCAGGGCCTCCAGTTGCAAACAGGTCTACAGAGGATATGAACAAGCAATTTCCTGAAGTGGAAAACCCAAAAAGCTAACAGGTGTAATAAAAGATGTTCAGATGTATTAACAGAAAAGTCTAAAATAAAACTACAATGAGATTTCACTTTAGATCTCATAGATAGACAAAATTTTAAAAAGCTCAATCATGCCAACTCCTTTAGTGGGGATATGGGGACATAGGAATCCTCATACATTGAGAGTAGGGACTTTGGCAGCCATTCCAGAGATAAATGTGGCAGTACGTAGTCAAATTCACTATCCCCATAGGCACTCCAAAGAAATTCTCCACAGGTCCATAAAGGGTCATGTAGGAAAGTGTTCATTATGGTGTCGTTTGCAGCAGTGGGAAGTTGAAGGCATGTTGCATGTCCATCACCAGGGGACTACACAGGGAAATAGTGACAGGTGCACTCCAAAGAGGACCTCTTAACCTTTAGGCCAGTGAGTTAGATGTACATAGGGCAACACGATGATCTTCGACACGTAGTACTGAGTGGAAAAGAATGAACCATATAACAATACTACTCACAAATTACAAATATATGCACATTCACACCAAATATACACCTTACAGAAATGCACACAAAAGGATATAAGTTAAACACATTTGAAAAATGCCTATGTCAGGGAGTTGGGAGGAATGGGAGCATGGATGACGGAATAAATAAAACAAGAAGGCGGTGGAATTGCCAAGCACAGTGGCTCACACCTGTAATCCCAGCACTTCAGGAGGCCGAGGCAGGCAGATCACTTGAGCCTAGGAGTTCAAGACCAGCCTGAGCAACATAGCTAGACCTCATCTCTACAAAAAATACAAAATTAGCCAAGCGTGGTGGTACGTGCCTGTGGTCCCAGCTACCAGGGAGGCTGAGGTGGGGGGTTCCTTGAGCTCAGGAGTCTGAGACTGCAGCGAGCCAAGATTGCACCACTGCACTCCAGCCTGAGTGACAGAGTGAGACCCTGTTTCAAAAAAAAAAAAAAAAAAAAAAAAAAAAAAAAAAAAAAAAAAAAAAAAAAAACCCAAAAAAAAAAAAAGAAGAAAAGAAAGGGGGAGGAGAAGAAATAGCAGAAAGTGTCTATTCCCTTGGCCTAGTCACCTACTCCTCATGACATGCATCCTTTAGAGCCTGCTCTTCACTGAGGAGGAAACAGCCCCACCTACACTCTGTTAACCTGAGGCCAGAATGCTTAGGTGAGTCTGGCTCAGACGGGCTGTACTTGGCTGGTTTTGAGTATGTGCTGCCCCAGCTCCTGCATACCCTCCCACCAGCACTGCAGCTGCCTGGAGCAGGTGTGGACATGCATTTCACCGCCACAGAAGTTGCCTGCTGTGATCTACTATTGAGGGTGGGGCTGGTCACAGAGCGATTAGAAGCGAAGAGTCAGAGCGACCCACTCCCCATCAAACCATGTGGTAACCAGACAACTAATTTCTGTTCTGCACAATAGCCCTGCCGGTGCCCTGACTGTGCTGAGACGTGGGTGTATTTTCCTGGCCCCATTCAGAACCTTACCCTCTGACTTCCCGAGAAGCAGCTCTTGTAAACTCTTAGGGAAACTGAAGCCAGATTCACTGTGACTGAGAAATTCTTTTCAGCTTATCCTCTCCTGAGAACTCATCACCTAATTGTCTCAATACTGCCCTTTCCCATAACCAGCTAGGTGCATGCTTGCCGTTCGGTTTTCAAAACAAAACAATACCTTGTTCAGTGATACATACATGAGAGGTGAAGTTTTCTAAAAAACAGGCCAGGTGTGGTGGCTCACACCTGTAATCCCAGCACTTTGGGAGGCCAAAGCGGGTGGATCACCTGAGGTCAGGAGTTCAAGACTAGCCTGGCTAACATGGTGAAACCCCGTCTCTACTAAAAATACAAAAATTAGCCAGACGTGGTGGTGTGTGCCTGTAATGTCACCTACGTGGGAGACTGAGGCAGGAGAATCACTTGAACCCAGGAAGCGGAGGTTGCTGTGAGCTG